AATGATATTCAATGAATATACTGAATGTGATATGAGCTTATTAATGAATATGTCATCGATAATTTGTTGAGAGATGTGATTATTGAGATCATGAGTAAGTGATGAGCAATGAGAAAATAGTCTGGAAGTGCTATTAAGCACAATCTGATGATGGAATTGAGAAATGATTGATAAAGTTGAATGGTACATTGTAAATAATTACAGAGATGCACTTGGAGTATAGAGTTCAGAGACGATAAAGAAATCTTAGAAAAATGTAGAGTGGTGAGTGACAGTCGCGATTGTGCACATATTATTGTTGAGTGCGACTATGCCACATGACCTCACACTCGTTTCCCAACTAGACTCTGACTATATGTCTTTACTAAGGGGTTTGTGATTGCATACATTGTATCTATATTGCATGAGTTAATTGGTGACTATTTACATAGTTGTTTGCCAGGGGACTCGTGACCACATACGATGTGTCTGTATTGTGGGAGCTAAACGGTAATTATTTATGTGATTAAGTAAGACCTCAAAAACTGCTGCAGACATCAAATGATGGTAATCATAGTGCACTTAAAAGTGAAAATTTGGAATAGAAATGTTAATGAGGTTGCATGAATGTGTATAATGAATATTATATATGCAATGTGTGGTAATATGGTATAAATTATTATCTAATTAAATAAATATGATTGTTACGATGTAAATGTAATTATATCCTTGCATTGGATAGATGTTCACCCTTACATCATCCTGCAAGTAGTAAAGATGACAACCCATCCTGTGTAGATTGATGTCATAGATGTTTTTGCTAGTAGTAGATTAAATCATGTATTTAGTGAATATAGACGTGTAGTACATGTATATTTTAGGGTACATTTTGAAGAAAAAAAATCTTAAAAATAGTCTATAATTATGCAGTTCCTTTTAATTTCTTAACTAGTGGTCAAATTTATCGAATTGTGTGCTTTTATCTATACCGGAGAATAGAAAGGCCTTCACGGATCATGAATAACATATTTACTTATTACGATCATGATTCACTAGGAAGACGTAACAGTTATACATTTAAAAGATTCTCTAATATAGAATTAGTGGCGAATGATAGTGACGCCTATCTTAGAAAGAATGATAATTTAACCACTAACAACTTGGTAGAAATTGAGGACTAGCATGATATAGATAAATATTTCTAGTCTCTAGTATATAGGACTGAGTATGAACTGCTGTAAATTTTGACATATTTTGAACAATGTTATGTAAATATTAAATTGTAATATTTTATACAATCATCTTCTAAAATTTTGTCTTGTATACATATTTACTGTTATAAAATTTTTTATTTCTATAAATTTTGATAATGGTTTTACGAAAAAGTTGATCAATATTTTCACAGATTTATGAAAATAAACATATATTTAACTTAAAAAAATAAAGGATGTTACAATACTAAACTAGCATATATGAATATATCTCTAATAAAGATCCTAAAGCCAAAGTATTACTTGCGCAAGTTTACAAATAAAATTTTTATGAATGTTAGTATAGAGGACATAATTCGAGTGAGTTTCACAGCATTGTGTGTTGAGTGTTGACTTTACGTGACAAAGGGAAGTAAATTTATGAAAATAGAAATGTAATCGCTTCATCTAAGACCAAAAAGTACATAATAAATTTAAAACAGCTAGTTAATAAACATTAAGGTTTTTTCACTTTGATTTGTTTCAATTGTTCCCAACTGTGAAGGTTATGTTTAGTAAATGTAACTTATAACTTATTTAAGTGTTACAAACTAATTCATTTAGTTTGTAGAGTTTGAAATTAATTCATTTTATTTGTAGAGTTGTTTAGTAAATACAAAATAAAATTAATTATAACTTTTGAAATTTAGTTTCTTTAAATTTATCTAAAGTAGTAGTTAATTTTCAAAAGTTAACTATAAATATCTTTATTTTTTATTTAAAATAAAAAATAATTAATTTGTTACACAATTAAAATTTTAAGTATATAATTTAATTTTTTTTTTTTACTCTCTTCACTTTTTCAATAGTTTTTTTTTTCTTTATTTTGGTTATCTATTCTTCTCTCTTATATTCAAATATATTTTATATTAAAAATATAAAACATTTCATATTTAAATATATATTAATTTTTTTATTTTTATATAGTTATTTAATTAATTGATCATAAATAATTAAAATAAGTAATAACTAATTTTAATATTATATTAATATAATATTATATATCCTTTTAAATCATTTAACACAAATTATCTAATTGAACAATTAGTTGCTAAATAATTTTAATTCATAACTACTTATGCATTTTCAACTAACTTTATGACAAAAAACTACGAGGTCACAACTTTCATCTCATTTCATCATATATAACTCAAGTCTTAAATTGGACTATACCTTTTTACTCTTTCTTTCTTTTTTCTTAGAAATACTCTCTATATGTTTGAAGTATCCAAAAATTATAAACTCAAATTTAACACAAAGTATATAACATCTTTTTAGTTAATATTGTTTTATTTAATTTATCCATTAATTTTTTTTTATCTTTCTACAAAATTTATTTTGAGTAAATTTATAGATAAATACAAGTTTTATTTCTTTTTTTAATACTTTTTCTCTAAACCTTAGTCACTCTTCAATACAAGGTAACTAAAGTAGGAGAATGAAAACTCCTCAACAGCGAAGAGTCTTTAATATGGAGATTTCTTTCAAAAGTTTTCCTACTCTTATCATGATGATTCTTTATTTATATATTGATTGATTTATTTTTTTTAGAATTTTTTATTTGTCGTTTCTCGTTTCTTTACTCATTCATTTTTCTCTTTAATATTTTACCTTCATTTATTGGGAAATGATGATTTGAATCTTTGTTACTTAACTTATTATTAAACTTTGTGTTAACATGAAAAGAAAATAATAAGAAGTAAAAAAAAAATTGTGTGCCTTAATTCTTTTGTTAAAAAAAGTATGTGATTTTAAATTTTAGATTTTGTTAACTTCAGCTTTAGCGATTGAACACAGTTACTAATAGTAAAATTTTATTAAAAATAGAAATATTTATTATATTTTTATAACTTCAATATAATAATTACATATTTTTTTTATAATTTTTTTTATTTATAGATATTTAAAATTCAATCCTAAGGGTTGAGTTAATAAAATATCTAAATTTTATTTTTAAATTTACTTTGACATGTTTAGTAGTTTTATTATTATTAAATTTGATTAATTTTAAGCACACATGTGTGCTTGTAAGTCTCATTAGACTTTTTTCTATTTAAAAAGAGTGTAATTTATTTTATTACTTAATTTTTACCTTTTATAAGTAGTTATTGAAAAATTTGTGAAAATTTATATAGGAATTAGAGATATTATAGAATTTAATATTAGTCTTTTAAGTAAGTGGAAGGGCAGCGTGGCATTCTTGTGGATTACAAGATTACACTTAGGATGGGGTAGTCACAATCGTGGGTAGGAAGTGGGGAGCATAGTAAGGGTGGCTACTCTCATGTTGGTGGAAAGATATGTGAAGTATATATGGAGAGAGGGTTTCATGGGAAGATCCTGTTTGTGAGGAACATCAGTAAGAAGCTGGGAAATGGGAAGGGGACCAGTTTTGTGAAGGATCTCTGCGTTGGTTGGTGAGACCAATTTGAAAAACAGATATGGGAGATATACAGTTTCAATCAATAGATAACGTTCAAAACGAAGAAGAAGAAGAAGAAGAAGAAGAGAAATTATACAAGAATTGCTGACACAAATTCAAGTATTAGTTTATCAAAGGAAGAAGATGATTCGTCGGGTGCTTTCTAGCTAAAAATCAGTCTACAAAGTGTTGGAGAAAAGTATATCCATCTTTAAGAGGACAAGGTGACGAAAAAAAGGAAAAAGTTTTATAGATATATCTCCTGTTAATGTCATGTATTAAAATTGGACGTATACGTACCAATGTTATTTAAAATTTATTTATATTTTAAATTTAAATATTTAAAGAGTAATTTCTTCCATCTCTAAATTTAACTGTGTTTATAATAATAAACGTAAATCAAATTAAATTGACTAAGCTCAACTTATTTTAAAATCTTTTGTAACAAATAAATCTATGCTAACAATGTTATAATTCATAACAACAATATTATTAGTATAAAAAATTGATATATATCAACAATGCAGTCATATTGATAGTATAACATACTTTTAACGTAAATTTATAATATCAATATTATACTAATAATTTAATCTTTATTAAACGGAATTTATACTATCATATAAATTTCTTTTCCCCGTTGTTCCCAGTGTTTTATTCAGCAAGTACACTAATGACAACACATTGAAAATCTTATTTATTTCGTGTACGTTAAGAAACATAAAACAATTTATAAATATTAATTTAAACAGATCATAAATAACAACATTAAAATAAATATATATAGCAAAGTAGACGAAATTTAATACTATATATAATAATATATATAAAAGAAGCTCTATCTCATATTTAAAATTATTTTCAAAATTAAACAGAAAAACATCTTAATTTCCATAACATTTTGAAAACACATAACAGTAACTAACACGAGTAATATTAGTGAATTCTACAAAGTGTAGAGCTTACAACGTAACATGAATAAGAAATTGTGAATGAACGATACGAAAATAGATAAACTATGCATAAAATGATTTAAAATATGATAAACTAAAAAAGTTGTCGTGTGAAGAAAAGGGAAAATGGAAGTAGCCAATGAGAAGTGAAGAGTGAGTGGCATAACATAAACAGAACACAGCAAACCTGTTTGCGGTGTAGATGGACCCGCAACCTCGTACGGACTGTCACAATCTCAGACATCAACGACTTGTCTTTCTCCAACAATCCAACTTCGACAACGCATCGTACCTTGTTTCTCTCAACCAATCAAAAATCGACACCGCATTGTACCCAATACAAATCTCTCTATTCATTTCTTTCTCTTTTTTTCTTATCCTTTTACTTTTCTTCAACCATGGAAACTCCCTATACTTTAGAACCGTTTAGCACACCACAAATATAGAAAGATACCCATGCTATATATGCAGCTCTTACACACCCCACGCTTCCACTTCTCGTTTTCTTCTTTTGTATTCGGTTAGGTGAATCAATACTCATACTACTCTCACTCTCTCTAGGGTTTCTTTCTTTGTGTATTCTCTGTGTTCTTCTTTCTTTTTTCTTTTGCTTGATTAATTATCTCTTATTTTTCTTCTTCTTATTGTATCAGAATTGAAGATGGGAAGAGGGAGGGTTCAGCTTAAACAGATCGAGAACAAAATCAGTCGCCAAGTCACGTTTTCCAAACGGAGAATGGGGCTTCGCAAAAAAGCTCATGAAATCTCTGTGCTTTGTGATGCTCAGGTAGCATTGATTGTGTTCAATGCCAAAGGGAGACTTTTTGAGTATTCATCTGAATCCAGGTTTGTGTTCTTTTTATTATTTATTTATTTTTCCTCCTAAGTGCTTGCATATATAGATTCCTTGCTGGGTTGCTCTAGATTCACTTTGTTGTCACTCTTATGGGTGAGGAGATTGTTAATTAATCATGTATATATATGCATACACAATAGTCTAGATATTGCAAATCTTTCTTAATCAGTTTTTTTATTACCTTTGTCTTTTCTTGTATACCTTTTTTCTCTCTCTTTTTTTAAAACTCACCCACTAGCTTGCTTCATCGGCTAACTGAAATATATAGTACTCAGATTTAAGCCAAAATGAAATAGTAGAATTCAGTTCTAGAATTTTCTAGTTTGTTCTTGGTTTTAATCATGTTACCCTTTTGTCACACACTACCACATCTGAGTCATAATGGATGTATGGAAGTTTTGATAATAATTACTTTAAAAATCTGTAATGGATGTGTTGTTAGTTCAATATCCATTCTAGCGATGACAGTGCATTTGCTGGCTGCAACAGAATACTAACAAGACTGACTGATATTGGGGTATCATGCTGAGCTCTAATATGAAGTATTTTTGGTAGTAGTGTGTATATGTACTGTACATGTACAATTATTCGCCAAGGCATCGTTGTTTTCATATAAATACAAAAGATTTCCACTACCAAACAAATAATATTGGTAGTACCCTAGAGCTCCATGCTATTTTGAGGCAGGGGTGATGATGCTACTCTCTTGGTTTTTGAAACCTAGAAATGTGGTTGTTCACTTTATACACCGGTAAAGAGAATGACACTTAAATATTATAAAGCATTATTAATATAATGACAAAGTATATTTTTGCAAAATTTTTGTACAATCCTTTTTTATAATAAAGGGAGAGATAAAAAGAAAGAAAGAGGCATGTAAGATAACTTGATGTTGTTGTAAAAATTTAATATTATGAAAATGTATTGTATGAATAATATAACCCTAATATAACACAAGAGAAAGTGAAATAAATGGAAGAGGTTAGAGATTTTTACACATTAGTACGATTGATGAGAACAGTGAGTTACTGAAAAAAGGATTCTGTACTTCTGGTTCGCATGTAAAAGAATAAGGCCTGCAGATTGACACACTTTTTCTTACACACTGTTTTTTCCCTAAATACATAAAAAGTAAAGTACTATTATTTAATAGTATTTAATTATTTTTAAAATATATTTCACAGTAAGAGGAGATATAAATAAGAAATATGGAAAAATGTGATAAAATAAGTGATATGATAGAAAATGATAAACAAAAAATATAATGTAAAAAAGTATTATAAAAATATGTTAAAATGGCATTACTCTAAAGAATATGATAAATATGTATGATAATAATGTTTTGATAAAAGAAGCTCTTCTCCATGGATACTGTTGCTAGATGCTCGTATATATTTTATGATATTTCTAACATGTATTATCATTATAAATGCCAATCATTGAACCAAAATCCCAATGTCCCTTTAATTTTTAATTAAATACCAAAGCAAACAAAAGAAAATAGGCTGCATGTTTTTTAAATTAATTTATACTGTTTAATTTTTTCTGATCCCAAAAAGTAAGTATTGAAATGAATATACGGTAGCTTTTTGTGTTTGATTAATTGCAATATGTTACCGGAGGATATTAGAGTAGTCCAAGATCGTACAATTTTAGCCTGACATGTAAAAAGGTGTATATTTTTATTATTATGCAATTCACCTGAATCATGGAAGGCAATATATGTTCTCTAATAAACATTTATTAAAATTATAAACATAGAGATTAGTTATTTCAATCCTTCCATTTTATAAAATATCATTTACTTTAACCATGCATTAATGTCAAAGAAGAAGGCATAAAATATATATTGAAAATTGTTTTGCAAAGTAAAGTTTAGAATGAAATTTAGGTGTGTCAATGCACTTAAGAGCTTGTTTGGTGTATAGGAAAAAAAAAAGATATCTCTTCTTATCTCGGCTTATTTCTAACATTTATTTAATTAACATGACATGACAAGTCTATCAAATGAACTTAACTTATCTTTATCTTTAGTGTAAATTTTCTTTTTTTAAAAAAATCTTAATTAAAAATATATAGTTTATGATAATATAATTTATTTAATTTATTTTTTATATATATACAAATCAAATGTAAACTAAAATAAGAGTTTATTCTACTCTTGTCTTATTCTGTTTTTATTTAGTTCTCATGCCTTTATCATATTTTTCTTCTATTATATCCATCAAATAAGTCTTAAACGTTTACATGCAATAATGCATAAATGCATCTTTAAATATGGCAATTCTCCATAGTAGTTTGAAGGGTTTTTAGTTTGGAGGAGGGGGTATACATGCCTTGTGAGCTAGAACATGGGGTACTACATGTCCTCAATCAGAATGTTGCTTATAGCTCACTGTGCAGCGATTAGGAAATTTGACAGATCTTATAATTAGATCGAAACTATTACCATAACATTTAACAGGTGTTTGGGAAGTGGAAGCGTTATCAATATATTGTAGGATATAATTTGTTGATAATTTATTTAGGGTTGATTAGTTTAAAAAAATTATTATTATAAGTACAAGATTACTCAAAACTCATTACATAAAAGAAAGCTAATCACAAAGATTAATATGAATTTTATTATTTGGCTATATGTATGTAATTAGTTAGCAGTTAGGTAAACTTTCCTTAATCTATATTCTGTAAAACATTCATCATTTCTAATTATATGAATTCAGAGAAAGCTATCGAAAGCCATCCCTAATGTAATAATTTAGTTTATGGTTCAAACTTCTTTGTTTTTGGTGTTGAACTTCTTCTCATATACATTATTAGATGCAAATATATATATATATATATATATATATATATATATATATATATATATATATATATACACACGAAAATAAAAAAATCTCAATCATTGATATTATCATAGAGTTAAAATTAAAAAAATAAAATCATATAACTATTCATGTAATTTTAATTAATTATTTATAGTCATATGATGTAGATGTATTCTCATTCTCTTGTAAAATTGACATTATCACCTTGTATATTGTATATAAACTTTTGTTCATACCACGTTGTGGTGTTCTGAACTATACTTCCTAACTGCAACATGCATTAAGTGTAGAGCACCCCACCTTCAAAGTTGGGAGAATGCTCTCTCTGCAAAGAGGTACTTTTGCCTTTGTTAGTGTTTCAGACGCTGCGTTGGCAGGTCAAGTTTGTTTTGAGCCTTTACAATTTTATAAACTTAAATTGATAAACACTCCAAACAACCCTTAAACAAAGTTGATTCATAAAATTTTTTAAATTATGAAAAATTATCATCCTAGATATGATGTTATCTAAGTGTAAATATCTCACCTTCTTTAATATTAGGGGTAGTCATATATGTAGAATTATGACACAATATAGTCATTAAACTCAATCAAAAAAATATTTTTTAGAAATTTGATTAATAAAAAATCTTTTTTAATAATTTCATGTTTAAGATCTTAAGTGAAAGTGATAATAAGAGTAATAGTCACATAATAAAAATTGTAATGGCGAGATCAAGAGTGGTAGTTGTAGAAATGAGGTGAAAGCACTAACAATACTTGTGTAAATACAATGACATTGACAATGATAATAACAAAATAATGATGGTTGTGAGATTAGAAGCAGAGAAAATAGTTTAATAAAAAAATAATGTGGTTAGAAATTATAAATAAGAGGATAATATTTACAACTTGAAGAGTTAATTATAGTTGTATCATATAATTGTATAAAATTAGGCTTTGAATTTATGATTCAATTCTAAAAGAACATTTAAATGAAGTAATTTTAATTCTAATTTTATATCTTATTTCATATGCTAAACAAACATTTAAGATATATTAGATAAACAGTTTAGTTAAGCACATATTGATCGAAAATACTAAATTTATAAAATAAATATTTTGATAAATCATATTAAAAAATTATCAAATAAATTATATAATTATCAACTTTCACGAAAAAAATGGAGTTATTAAATTATTTTTTATACTCGTTCTACAAATGTTCTTTAATAGAATATAGGATGTTGGGTTAAAATTTCGCGTCCTTATTTTGCCATGTGATCGAACAGGCATGAAACAATTACAACTTGTCGTGATGTATCGTCGTTTGTACGACATGGTCAGCTAAGGTATAATTGGTCCGAGTTCCAGAATGTGGAGAATATTCCCTTCTTTCATAGGCTGACATGACAGCTTTCCGAGTAATGCAAACCTTAGGGTACACTGCCCTTAATTTGAAGGCCAAGTTATAAGCTTTCCTAGTTATATGCAAATGGCCCAATTAAAAATATTTTTTCTATGACGCCAAACTTCTATATGGGTCATGGAATGATTTGTGAACAATTTTGGGTTGCTACCTACATTTTTATTTATTTTATAGTGATTATAATAATTGAGTTGTAAAGTTCTTTTTATTTGTTTTATTGTTCCAAATTACTTGTGGAACAGCATGGAAAATGTCCTGGAACGATATGAGAGACATGCCCATTCAGTGCAACTTGTTGGAGCTGGTGATGAATCGCAGGTAGCTCTACAGATCATAGTTTTTTATTGCCATATTAATATATGCCAATTTAATGCATTTATATATTTACCTCATGCTTATATTATACACGTGGAGAGGGTGTGGGATTTTTCTTTAGATATTTACAATGTATGCATAATGGACTACACTACAAGACAATGAAGTTTTGTTAGCAATATAAATTAACTATATATGCATAAGGTGTCATTATGATATTAGTTAGAAAGAAAGGGTAAGTAGAAAAAGAATGAAAAAGCATCAAACTAGCAAGCAATATTAGATAGCTAAATGGGTTTGAGTATGGAGATAATATTGAAGTCTCGTTTTACATTCACCATGCATAGAAATAAGAATCAAGTTTTTTTCCTTGTTTTTCCTTCAATTGTTGGACCCCACGTTGTTTTGGTACATTGGACATTCAAGCATTGGTTAGGAGAGAGAGATTGATGGCGCAGTAGTGATCAACGAGACCTTCTTTCATACTTATTAGAAACCACGTTGTTTTGATAACAAGATAAATGTGTTTTGGTAAACTTGATCGAAAGATTTAGCTTGTTTTCTGATTATTTGGCTTTAAGAAAAGGCTCAAGTTAGTTTCAATGTAGTTTGCGTGTGTATATATATAGATCATTTTGCAATTATATTGTAGGGAAACTGGTCCTTACAATGCTTCAAGCTCACCGGCAAAGTTGAAGTCTTAGAGAAGAACTTGAGGTACATATTTGATACTTCATTGTAAAATTTGCATTTGCTTTGAGCTATGTTTGTAGTCTTTCAATTATTTAGTAGCACTGATTTGTTAACTTTTAGTTTTTTACATGAAAAACACTATAAAAGTATTTGTTTTCTTCCAAGATCATTTCAAACTAATAAAAAACAAAAAACAAAACTCAGTTACAACACCTTAAGTATTTCTAATACTACTGTGCCACAATTTTATTTTAATAATAACATAATGAATGACAATATTAAAGTTAGCATTGATTTTTAAGATAAAATTTTAATTTAAAAAATAGTATCAAAAGTACCCAAAAGTAATACGTCTAAATTTTATAAAGAAGAATGAGCAAATTTAACACTAAAATCTATTTGATGCAATTAGTTGACTGACTTCCACCCATTTTAGGTGGTTTTGTCTAGTTTCTTTGGCCGAGAAAAGGTGTGCGTGTGTGTGTGTGTTTTAACTAGGACAAAAGTGCACAACACATTGAAAGGGCTTGTTTTAGATGCTTCAAAACCATTTGTTTATGAAAGTAACTATAAATAGATCATAAGTTATAACATCTTCTATATAGGAACTTTGTGGGACAAGATCTGGATCACTTGAGCATGAGAGAGCTTCAGAGTTTGGAGCATCAGCTTGACACAGCTCTGAAGCGCATCCGTACTAGAAAGGTGAAATATAGCTTAATGATCGTTTGCAAGAAAGTAGAAAATTTTTTTTAAAAAAAAAGTGAGAAAAACGCATGTGTTCTTAAAATTAAATTATCATTAGCAAATTTAACATTTTGTTTTCCAGCTAATCTTCAATTCACTTACCAAACATTTTTATGATTCTTGCAGAATCAAATTATGAATGAATCCATCTCAGAGCTACAGAAAAAGGTAAGGGATTGGGAGGAGAGGGATTTACCATTGGATATTGGCCTGTGTATTACTTTGTAATATTAGATACATAGAGGCACATTAAATTAAAAGTTGTCTATTAATTGGCAGCGTTGGAAACTAGAAAAACTTGATGCATGCAGTTCATTAAATATTATTCATGTATTTGCGTATGCATGTTTTGTGTATTCAATTTGTAGATTTTAAGTATTTTGCGTATGCATGTATGCATGTTTTGTGTATTTAATTTGTAGATTTTAAGTAATTTGTTCTTGTATTTAAGTAGTAATGAATTTGTGTATTAAATAGAAATTGAGAAGTATCATGTGTTCCTATATTAGACAGTCTTTACATTTAAGTAATTCGTGTAAGCCAACAAGGTTAAATTAAAAAAAAGATTCATTGAAGTGGGGAATTTCTTGTTTTATTATACAAGTGGTATCAATAGCTATAAAAAATTTTAAGATGACTAAATTTACTCTCTCCATTTCCAAACTCATAAACATTAATTATTAAAAAAATTGGTATTTTTACAGCCCAACTTTCAATGAAAGTGCCAATTATTATATGACTCAAACCCATGAAAAGAACTTAATTCAGAAGACTACTAGTCTTTTATGTTTGAGAATCTCATGGTTTAAGTAAGTCTACCTAATGTGAGACTGATAACAACATGGAGGCTATAACTTTAAGCAAAAAGAAGGAAGGAGGAAGGGAGTATGATAAACTTAATATTGAATCTCATAATTGTCACAAATAAAGCCAAATGAATGTTTGAATTTTCCCACCAATCAAAGTCCCAACTTGTTATATTGAAACAAGTCTCTTATATGTTCTCTTTGGAAACGACTACATTTAGCTGAAGTCAAGTACTGAAGATTGGATGTAACAAATATTTGAAGAATGATAGTTTCACTCTGAAAGATGGTTCAATTTGCAAACTATGGTGTCGAGAATAAACCTTCTTGATGTTAAAATTATCCATGATGCTTAAAGAATTGTGTCAAAGATTCCTCTTGGATCTTGCATGAGGTTTGGCCATCTAAATTTTGATAATTTGATTTTGTTGGCATAGAAGAATTTGTTTCAAAAGGTTGTCTTTTATTGTTCAACCTAATCAATCATTAATGTCAAAGGCATATATACCAGTTTGATAAAAGTAATTCTTGAATATTGTCTTTGGTTTTTTCTGACTTATTTTGGTAAAAGCTTGAAAAATTAATTTCTGTTTGTGAAGTGCAGTTAGTTTCCTTATTAATGCAAGGTTTATGTATACACAATTGAGAATAATAATATACATTTTTTGTCTGCTTATGACAGGCAAAGGAATTGAAAGAGCATAACAGCATACTTGAAAAGAAGGTAGAAGCCACATGTGCCACTAATCTATCAGTCTTCTAGACAAGAAAGGATAAGAAAAAAAAAGTTGACTTTTCTTCCATTTATGGCTAGATTAAGGAGCAAGAGAAGACGATGGCTGAACCAACACACTGTGGGCCAGAAATCTTAGGCCAAACATGCCTCCCAGTGCTACAACCACAAAAAAGACTAATTCCTTCCTTAACACTCGGGTAATTATCTCATCTCTTTTCTAACTTCTTACCAAGTATTACACAGGAAGTACCAAATTTTGAAAATCTGTGCTGAACTGCCAAGTTGAAATGTCTCTGCAGGTTTAAGTACTATGCTGATCATTTAGATTTTAATCATGGTTCAAGCACTGATAGAATTGGTTGAACCAAAAAAACCATGATTCTAAGTGATGCAAAGTCAATGGATTATGTTTTACTAGTATACATGCAACTCTGTTGCTCATATGGTCTAAATGTAATTTAAATAACTTGGAGAGATGCTAAAGTTCATAATTTTCTAATAATGTCTTGCCATAAGATTTAATAATTGAGTAAACTTACTTTAGCTTCGGGTGTAACGCACACAACACACAATTATCACCAGCAGAGTACCCCTTACTCTCTCTTGCTAGAACAAACTGTTGAGTTGTTTTACAGAAAAACCCGGTAGGTGCTTTAAAAAAAAAAGTTATAAATGAACTTGAATGATATACAATTTTACTACAGTAGCTACACTTTAAGAAACCGTTTGATGGATATGATAGGATATGAGTTTAGGGATGAAATAGGATAAGATTACAATAGACTTTTATCTTATTTTATATTTAATGCATACCAAAATAATAAATTAGATATATTATGTTATCTTGCCCATACGATAGGATACGAAAAAATTATCCTTACCCTGTTCATTAAACGAGCTTGAAAAGTTTTATATTTATCATATATATTCAGTAAGGTAAGCGACATAAAATGATCAAACAACAAAGGAATTTTCCCATAACAGCGAAGTCCACATCTTAATGAGAAGCAGAATCCTAGCTAGGACAATTATACATTATTATAAAGACAGATTATTGTTTCACACTATAAAAAGTGTCAAATTGTGCAGTGAGAATTTACAAGCAGCAACGATTGAGGAAGTGGTTGAAGCTCGAACTGTTCCTAGTACTTCTACTCTCATTCCACCATGGATGCTGCATCATTTTACTAGATGAACTGACATGACACGGTTATGTTCGTGATGTGTGATGAATGTCAAAATCATAAGCTATATATGTTAAAAACATAATGTTATAGCTGTGTTAAGTTTGATAACTGCACATTTTTCTTGTATAGGATGTGCTCTTCAAATTTGATGGTTTTGCCAATGTAAGCTAAAACAGCATTGGCAAAGGATGCAGAATGCAAGTGACTCTTGCATCCAAATGATGCACTATTTTTTACACTGAAGCAATCGAAGCAAGCAGTTACTTTTTATATGTAGTTAGTGAATGGTGAAACTTAAATAAGAAAATGTCAAATCAGCTTTCAGGTGCATGAACAAAATGGTACTCTGTACGGAAATGCAAGAAATTAATATTTCCTCATTGAAAAAAGAAAATGCTTTAGGCGTTTCATTTTCTGTTTTTACTTTTAATTACTAAGTTATTATCTTCTTTTCATTTTGTTCTCAAAGATTTATATAAGAAATAGGAAAAATAAATTAAAAAAAGTTATTTTCCATGTATTTGTGCAAGTATTTGTAGTCAAGGCCCTAAGCATGTGTGAAGTAACAAAATATGTGATGAGAAGTTTCTTTCTTTTTTATTTATTACCAGAGTCCATCTTGTTTGAGTCCAGTGTGATAGATCATTGTGAGCGAAAAGTTCTTCTTTAAGTATTTAAGTATTTAAGAGAAGTTTTTAATTTTTAAAAATAAATTGTAGTACAAATTTTTAAGCTACATGCACTTTTATTTATTTATTTTTTACCTATTTTACCACTTTAAGAATCAAATCTGGTTTTTTCTCCATATGATGTCATTAATTTTGGTAAATTTATATTTTACAAATTAAAAAAACATTTTCCTATCCTAATTTTAAGAGTATTTTTTTTCAAAATCTTAATATCCAGAAATAATATTAAATATTGACCAAAACTCTCAACATCGGTTTTGAAATGATAGTCAGATTAATTGTGTGAATACAATATAATAAAATTAATTTATTATTTAATTTGGGTTTTGGAATATTTGAAAAAAATAACGGTTGCAAAATTAGCAACGTAATAGAGGACTGAATGATATGGATAAAATTTAAGTAAATGAATAGAATGAAAAATTGACAACTTATAAATACAAGAATCGTACATTATTTATAGTAAAATCGTCTTTCCCGTTAAATAAAAAGTACAAATGCTAAAAGTATATTAAACAAATAAAAACAAATCAGATTTAGAAACATTGCTCATTTTGAGGAAACAAAATACCAATTTTTAACACATTAATGCTAACAACGTCAAGGAAATTTGTGCTTAAAATGATGGTTCAAATGCGAAGTAAGCATTAATTAGTAGTTGAGAAACTTTCGCAATGTCATGGGTTTGAATCTTTAGAAAAAAAACTTTTAAAGAGAATACTCAAGTGAAAATTAGTATTACTCCAAATTATGAGAATCTCATAATGAAAAACCAAAAGGTGATGGCTATGTTTTACTATTAACTTTTTACTCACGAGTCATACGCATAAATGAAATATTGGGTAACAGTTTCATGGAGTTCTAACACATTGTATCAGATGCACGTTCATGCCAGATAGCAGATTAACGAACTAAAAATTAAATATAATTCATATCAGTAAAAATATTGTCTAAAAACTTACAAAGTTTGATTGTTTGCGAAAATTGTCTAAAACAAGTAAAGTTTGATTCTTTGCGAAATTAACATGCATTAAACTTGATCCAGTCAAGCTTAAAAAGCTCAAATTAAAAATGTGTTCAAGCACTACATGATTGAAAGGACTTTTGAAATAGATTAATTAAACTCATTAAATGTAAATCATTTCCTAAGCTCAATTATTACGCTTATTGAAATAAACTCAAATGTATATGCAAATGTTAAGTTACTTTCATAAATTCAAATGAACTCTTTTATACACCTTAACTCCTAGGTCTCAGGTTCTCACACAATTGTGTCCAGTGTGTGTGCATATGTTCTTTTTGTTTTTTATTTTCATTAATTTAAACCTCGTGGACTTGAAACCACCAACGAAGAATCAAAAGAGAAACAATAAAAGGTTAATATGCTGAAGCCATCACAAAGTTTCCATCTAAAATTGCATATTGTTTCTTTCTTCACAGTTTTGGACAAGTGGAAAATTGTAAATATAAGAAACAACCGGAATTTGATTGAACTCACAACAATGGTTAAGAAAACTGTTCATACTTACTATACAAGACAAGCGCTTAATCTGTAGTATTCACAATGTATATAGACTTATATTCTTCCATGCCTCTGGTGCTGACTTCATCCACGACATAAACCTTTTAATCAAGTGTAAGTCGTTTCATCGAATACCATTACCTAGACCAAAACAAATACCAAAAATAAAACAAATCTATCATAATTAATCAAATTCCAAATTCTAGCAGTGTTTAGCTCATCAATTAGAATACACTTGGCCAACAAAGAAAGTATGGTCTAATGCACAATGTTCCCACTTAGTAGATTTACCCCCACAAGCAAAAATGTTGTATCTAGGATTTACCTGTTACCTCAAGTCACGCTTGGATCAACTATAACCACTTATTTAAGGTTTAAATATGTTTATAATCACTATTAAAATTTGCAATTTTTGTGTTTTTTTTTTTTAAACTTTTCAATCCCTTAAATCTTTTTTCCTTCTTCATCTTTCAATTATGTCTGTCATGAATCTAATGTTATCTGCATACATGGACACAGTAATGCTTAGCTGGTCAGATGCTAAATTCTTACATAGAAAACAAAAATATTTGAAGGGGAATATTGCATGGCAATGAATCTGCAATCCATTCATTAATGGTTTCCCTTAAGGTTCTTGGACTGAGTAGCATAACTAGACACTGATTTGCAATTAATCCATTAACTGTTTCCCCAAGGTCTGTTTAAAAGTGAGATTTTGGAGAGGGAAGGACAGGATAGTAATTTTTTATTTTTAAAATTAAGTCTCATATAATTATAAAAATAAATATAAGAATAGGGCATAAACTTTGCATTAAATCTATCATTTTATTTCTTTTATTTTAAAAAAATTGTCAAATTAGAAAATATTTATTAGAAATAAAAAGTTTACTCTTCCCTTCCTTTCCATCTAACATTCAACTCCCAAACAAACCTTTAGGGTTCTAGGACGAGTTTTCGTAAATTGACAGTTCCATTGCCAATATGCCACCTCAAATTTCTGCTTTCCATGTACCCACTTTAGATTTTGTACAAGTCCACATTAGCCCAGTTTGAATAAACTTCCAGAGAATTATTTACAGGAGAAAAAAAATCAGTAGAAAAAATAAATAATTTTTTTTTCATTAGTTAAAAACAACTTATCTTTTTAAATTTTAGATAAGTTAAATAAAACAATTTCTTAAAAATTATAAAAAAAATAGAAAAGCATAAATTATTTCTAATGAGAGAAGTTTTATTCATTCTTTATACTATTTTTTTTATAAAGACTTCTTAGAAGTTTAACCAAACTGGTCGTAGTGTGTCCACGAATGCAAGTACTGGAAGAAGGAACCCATTTGAAAATCTTAAAATGTGAAGAAATAAAAATTAAAATTTTTGGAAGACTTAAAAACATATTTAATCCTTTATTCATTTAACCACAGTGCATCAAAATGGTTTAATCAATATAAAAATGTAATGATAAAAACAGTTGACTATTAACATTTTAATACATAAATAAACATAGATTCACACACAAGGTCTGAAGGCAAGCCGGGTGGAAGTCAATGTCAGCTCAAATATTGAGAAACATGCACACACACACACAGCTATAACTTATGCATGTTTGCCAAAACCATTTCCACCATCCAATGAGTATACATAAATTTAGAGTAAAACCACATAGATAAAATAAACACTTTTTCTTCTTTCATCAGTTAGTATTATGGGCCATTAAGCTTGCAACATTCACAATGTTCAGCTAAAATATGTTGCACATCTAGCAGACTTTACATACCTGTCAACAAAATACTAAACGAGACACAGAGACATGCACTCTTACCATGTTTCGAAAGAACAAACAGTCCTATGCAGCTGTTTGTTTCGGCAAATGCATCTAATTAAATAACACGTGATCACCCCAAAATAAAAATCCTTGTACCAATGAACTATAATTGCAACACCCCACAACTATTCGGCCACACACCAAGTAGCACATAAATTCCAAAAGAATTCTTCTTATATTAAAATTGACGCTTGTGATTTTATTGCAATGTTGTCATTGAATAATGCTTAAAATATTTTGTTACACTGATACAGATAAGAATAAGAAAAGGCTGAAATTTTATTGGCAGAAAACTGATTCCCAGGGATGAACTCAGTGTGGGTACAACCTGAATACAAGATGATATAGTTCTCAGAGAAATTCTCTCTGAACTCTCCTCACTAACTGATCAATTATGCTTTCCAAAAAAGTGTCTCTCCCTACTTAAAATTTGATACTTACAGTAGTCTCTCCAAACTAACTGTAACAAAGCCACTAACCTCTTAACAATCAGTTTCAGTACAAAATTGGGCTTAAATTGCCCCTGCCTTGGTCCCTGGTCTTTCTTTATTTTTCTTAACATAGACCAGTTTAACTAAAGATCTCCTTTCATATTTTTAATAAATAAACCATAGAAAATGTGATATTAACGTCCTTTAAGATAAACTATATATTGAATATATCCTATGCTACCAAGCCAATTACTAGATTTTATTCTTAGCTTTAGTGCTTCCTATTGAAATGAAAAACTCAAGTAAAAATGTAGTGCACCACAAACTATTGGGACAGGTGGAATTGGACTATTTGCTGGTTTGACTGGAAGCTGGTTCAAACTAGAGTTTGCAGCCATTACATTTCACTAGTGAGAAGCAAACCGGAGGTGCAGCTGTCTAATCCAGTTTTCACTTTTCCGAACACCGAATTTGATATTCTATTTCCACAGCATTGCTATAAGTAAAAATCATGTCACTGAGAAATAACTTATAAAATACTAAGTAGTACCTTTCCACAAACTGGACAGTTGTCACTTCTCTCCATCCACTCATAAATGCAACCAAGGTGAAAATGATGAGAGCATTTTGTCATTATCTTTGGATTCTCTTTAGTGTATTCTGCAAGCAAAAACAGTTGTAGAAACATAAGAATCTCTAAAGATCATATTACTTTAAGAGTGCTTGTCCCAGATCCAACACCAAAGTAATTGCAACAATGATTAGAGTTTCACGAAGACTGCTTTTCAGAACTTAAAGATTGCCCTCCTAAGTTCCTGTACAAAAGTTATTTTCTAATTTCTAGGCAAATGCTGATTCAACATTACTGTATAATTTTTTTCTACCTTTAATATCAAGAATTGAAACCACTGTAAGAAGCATGTTTTATCCTCCCCAATTAATTGAAATATCCAACTTTTTGTTTTGCTTCTCCACACTTTATGAGGTAGGAGCTAAACGCTTTTAACTAAAAGGAAACATGGTACACCATAGAGTTTGACAACATCATCTACATAATACAATTAGTAAATCAAATAAAAATAAAATATCCATATTTCTTGGTATATGTCAAGACATGTCATTAAGCATCTTACAGTACCAAAAGGTACAATTATACTGCATTAAAATTTAAGTCCTAGTATCAAGGGGTCTTCCACCAAAAATTATTATTAAGAAAAAGAGATATATCTATCTACCTTCAAGACAAGTTGGACAGACATCCTCCTCTTCAGATGATGCATACACAAGGCCAACTCCAGTAGAATATTTTGCTGATGAAAGTCTTAGCGAGGACTTGGAACGGTATTCCTTCGATCCATCTTCACAGGAACATTCATTCCATTTTTCTCCTGAATTTAAAGACTCTGGATCCATATCTACATCACTTCTTAGAGGTTCTGTTTCCTCATTTGAATGACTTGAGCCCTTCTCACGCCTTGAAACTAGTCCATCACGTTGCGAGCGGAAATATCTGGGTTCTGCATCATAAGGTAATGGCCTTGGAGGAGAACGGTACATGTCAGATAGAGAATTATCGAGTGATGCTGCAGAAGTCATAGAAGCAGCCCCTTGAATAGATGAAGGAATTGAATGCACATCCCCCCTACGAAATATTGCTGTGTACTGAAATTTGAGGTAGACAGGAAAATGGTTATATTTTTATTATAAAGTATAGCTCTCACCAATGTCAAGATACATCATCCAGAAAAATGGATCTAGGACTAGAATATTCTTCAAGTTGAAATATACCAAATATTGATGTAAATAGCAATCAATACAGTGGACTTGCCACAAAAAACTCAGTTAGATTAACAGATGCAGAAAATCTTACATAAACCAAATAGATTGCTCTTATTTAATTCTATTTGTGGATTATTTAGGACGCAACAAGTAAGCACCAGAGATTTGGATGGTAAGCACGAGAGATTTAGATTAACTGACTTAGAGGAAACATAGGTTTAAAAGTTGCTTCTAACATTGATAGCACTTGCATCTTCTTATGGATGCCTATTTGTAGCACAGCACCATTGGCAAACCATCAGGATTAGGATGCATTACAAGAAAAGTGGAATGAGAAACCAGAACACTAAAGGGAGGCTAATGCCTGCATCCCAAGCATATAATTGTTCATGTTTATATACCCCAAACAATGGAACAATGTAGTAAATGCAAGTGTGCCCCAATACTAACAAAAACCATTGCATTGTACCCCAAAAATGCAACAGTTTTGCCGCCTTACAAACATGGAATTCAGGGCAAAAATAATGCACAAATCGTGGAAGGAGCTATGAAATTCAAGTTATGGACAGAAACAAATAACACAAGACATGGGATTTCCTTTTCATCAACCAAGAAGAGGAAATGAAACAAAATGGAGAAGGGGCAGGGGGATAGTAAAGAGAGACATACCACACTAAAAAGGTTCTGTACCAAGCAACTGAGACACACGCAGTTCCTATATACAGAACTATTTGGATTTACATAATCTTCAAAATCGTCAAAACTCAAACAACAACAAACAGAACCCATTTTTCCAGCTTCCCAAACTTTCTCTAGCTTAAGATTTTTCCCACACTTCAACTGATCACCAAAAACTAGGTGGTGCTACATTCAAGCTTCGAGTGCGGGACCCTCCAACATCACCATACTTAACAGTTTTTGTTAAAAAACAAAAATTGGGGAGAGGATTCTAAGCTTGCAGAAGTGTCACTGCCTCCACAAACCAGTACCCTCCCTCTTCAGTTCATATAATCCTGTAATATGGACAAGTACTGTTTCTCTTACCTGCGAATTACACAAAAACAGCATTAAAGAAAAACAACAACAACGAAAAACATTACATTTCTATAAGTTGGCATTCATGATACTATTTGACCAATTAAAATATCGAGCCTTTAATTAACTAAACAATAAATTATGCGAATGTGTATTTTTTAGACCAAATAGTATATAGTATTGAATGATAATATAAATTAGGAGCCACAAAAATGCTTTATATTTTATTTTATATTATAAAAAAGTAATGATTGATCACTTGTCTTGACTTAGTGCACATGAACATCTCACTAATGCAGCTAATGCTCACGCTCTAAAGCAACATGTACACATTTCAGAAGGGCAAATCATGACTATAACATAAGATCAACACAAAACACGAGCGTTATAAAACATAAAATAACTAATATAAAATTCAGAGATGAATATGACAAATTTAATTATTCAAATGGGAAAACTTTCTAATTTTTAGTCTTTTGCCACACACCGACAACTTCACTTCCACCATGTTAACTTCTAATTTGGAAGAAAAAAATAAAAATTCTTTTCTTTACTATCAAGCTATGCCGATGAATCAACCAACAACATGAACATCATTACTTTCTTTTCAGATGAAAAATTACGATCACAATCTTAAAACAACATTAAAAAAATTAAACAGACATAAAATCACATCAAAATTGTGTGTGCAACCAATGGAATTTTCCCAGAGAAGCAAGGATCGATCCAGAAACACACTTAAATTGGCGAAAAGGAAGAGACCCACTTCCGATTATCAAATTAAGAAGCAATCTGAAGGGTCAAAACGATAATTGGAAGCTAAAAATGGAAGTTGGTAAGGGGAGAACGAAAAAATGATTTTATTTATTTATTTATTTTTGAAAAAGTAGCAGAAAGAGAGAAAGGGGAACCTGGAAGTGAGAAATTGGGTAGAATAGATAGAGGTATGGGAAATCATAAACACAGAGATAGGAGTGGAAATTTTGGATTTTTCGGCGATAATTGCTATGAAACTGCGAAATTGAAGCCACCCTCTTTCACTCTCTTTCCCTTTTGCTTTGGTTTGGTGGGTGAAGTGTAGTTTTTATTTTTTTGTTCTTTATTTTTTTATTTTTTTTATGTTTTGTTGTGAACATGAAGTGTAGTCGGTAGTGGAAGAATCCATATTGAAAAAGTTTAAGAGAAAGAGAAAGAACCACTTCCCTGAATTTTTGCCTCTCTATTTAAGTTGCTAATTATTTTTGTATAATTTTGATTTTATGATAATTGATTGCCTTTATAAGGGTTTTTTTGTATTATGTAAAATGTGGATATGGATAAAATAATTTAAAATTATTATTATTATTTAAATAATAAAGATAATTTTTTAAAACATCTTATATTTTTAATTAGATAAAAATTTACACATTTCAAAAATAATAATAAATTCTTCTATTATACTTAACTTTTTATAATTATTACTATCATTTAAATTATTTTTATTATTAAATTTATTTTCTAATAATAAAATTTTCCACACCGAACATCATAAAGTCACAGAATGCAACAAAATTTTAAGCATTTAATATTGTGAAAAAATTTCAATCAATTGATCTATGAAATGTGAAAATTGTATCAGAATGAAAAAAATAAAAAATAAAATATATATATATATATATATATTAACAATTATTTTAATATGTGTCTAAAATATATAAAAATAATAATTTTTATAAAATTTTAATATATAATGTTATTAATATATTAATTTTTAAAATATTTAAAATTTTAATAAAAAATATTATTATATATTATTAAATATACGTGCTTAAACATACATTAACAAATTATAAATCAAATGTGAGATAGAGCATGACAGTGTTATGAAATTCAACACTGTAGTTTTATAATGATTAATGAGTCGTGACATTAGAGCATGCTTTTTTTAAAAGGATCTTACTAAGATTAATCTTGAAGAAACAGAACTTCAAAAGAAAAATATAATTAAAAAAAAAAGGAACAAATTGCATTATAGTTGATTAAATATTGAATTATCTTAAGAACTTAAATCTTTATCTAAACAAAGAAGGGGAAAACTATACTTATCTGTTTTTTACATAATTTTAATCCATTTACTAAGAATGTGGTGTCCTTTTAATAAAGAAAAGGTTTATTTTAAGTTTAAACTTCAAAATAAATTAAAATAAGTTGAATGGCAATATTTTACCATTACATATGAAATTAGTGTTACGAGAAATTTCAAATCGCTCATCCAAATTAAAATGCATATATTTTATAAAATAAAAATAAAAATATATCATTGAATAGACAAAATATCACAAAAAATTGACACAACGATAGTGTAGACAAACTTATTATTGGTATAGGATTACATGTTCATCGTACAACCTCATTATAGGGAAACAATATGGCCACACTTTCGCAACATTAATTTCAAATTTTGATTTATATATATATATATATATATATATATATATGAAATTTTTTATAATTTATTTTGATTTTATATAATAAAATATAATATTTCTAATTAATAATTACAATATTTAATATTTTTAATTATTAAATTTAAAAATATTATATAATCTATTTTAAATTAGTTTTTCAAAAATCAATTTAATTTAATGGTAGACGTTCATTGCATAAAACATTATTAGTTTATATAATATTTTTTATTTCTTGTAATTTTTGTTGATCCTTTAATTTAAGGAATGGGAATTTCTCATTGTAAATTTTTTAGTTGAAGTGTATTATTTTCCCTTTCTTACAATGGATTTTTAGAATTTTTAGGTTAAGGAATGAAATTTCTCATTCAAACTTTTTGCAATTACTTTTTCTACGTTTAATTTAATGTAATTTAATTGAATCATTATTTTATTTTTTTAATGCTTATTGATCATCTAAATGTATGATTCTAGAGAGGTTCTACAGTTAAAAAATTAGAGAATATATGTATTTAGATATAAAGTTAATGACTTAATTGTATTATTACATCTACATGTTTGTGATTTAGGATTAGATTTTCAAAAGATTGAAGTTTAATTATATTAGAAAATTAGATCATTAATTGAATTTTAATACTTAAATTTGATACTAATATCAATTACAAAGGGAGAGAATGAGAATGATGCAATTAGATTGTTGAATTCTATTTATTTAATACAGCCAATTCTTTTATCTCATTGTGTTATCATACAAAAGTTCAAAACATGCAATTTAATTCATTCACCTTCAATATTTTTTATAATTTAGACACTAACAAATTTGCATTTTGTTATTTATCATTTTGTTAGCTGTAGAAGCTAAAAGTTCTACCAATAATTAAGAACTATTTTTAATATTTTCTTATTTTAAGGTTGAAATTAAATAATTTTTTATTTTTTATAAACCAATTTCAAGTTTTCATTGGTTGACAAAAAGTTAAAGGTGTGAATTTTTATTTTATTTTTTTTAACATTTTGAATTGTGAAAATTTTTAGTATAAATTTTAAATTCATTTTTAATAGATAATTCTTGTAATGCTTTCAACTGTCGAAAAGAGGTTTCTTAAAATCAAAATTGCTTAAATTCTACCTATTATTAACTATAATGATGAGAAAACTATTTTTTTAAAACAATTTAATATTTTATTAGCATTTTAATTTCTTTTGCTAGTACCAATTTTTCAGATATAAAAATAAATTAAGATTGTCAAGAGAATATAAAAATAAAGAAAAGACTGAAAATACTAAGAAAATTTTAAAAATGTCAAAAAATTACATGATAAATAATTATAAAAAGTTATGTATAAAAATTATCAAATAATAATAATACATTATATTATCATTATCTTTTTAAGACTATCTATAAAAATAACATCTCATATTATATAATAATTATTTATGAAAATTTTGATAAAATACATATTTAAATAAGTAAATAATTCCTAAAAATACATATTTAACTGGAAAAAAAATGCAAACGAGTCCTTTATTTTTAAGCTTTTTTTTTCCAGATATTTAATTTCACAATGTATTAAAATTTTAGAAAAATAAAATTAATTTTATAATTTAAAATTTGAATCTTTTTAAAAAAAAATAGTGGTGCTCTTAAAAATAAAGTTATGAAAAGAAGCTTTCAATAAAAAAAAAAGAAGCAAAGTAGAAACTCAACCTTTATTTAGGTGTTCAACTTTGCGTAACAAACCTCCATCTTTTTTTATTTTAGTATATAATAATTTCCTTAACAACATTTATTTTATTACACTTAGTAAGTAATTGGTGCATGAGTAAGTGAATCTTTTTAATTTGTTATATGTATTTTAATCAAAATAAACAATTCAGATCTTTAACATGTAACTTAACAATACTAACTTTATATATTTATAATTTAGATTTATGTAAAATTTGTTCTTTAAACTTTCAAAATTTGTTATTTTATATTTCCATATGATTGTATTCATAATTGTTTTGTATTTGCAAGCATTGGAATTTCAATTTATAATTAAAAGTAACTTTTGAATTAATTAGTATTTCACCCATGCGATACATGGTATTTTGATGAAAAAATAATAATTATTGATGAAAATAAAATTTATTAAAAAAAACTTTTATAATTACATATCATTAATTTATATCAATCAACTAAATATTATAAAATTTTATCTAAAACTTTCTTGTAAACAATATTTGTAGTTTCGTTTGAAATAATATTTTTTCTATCGCATAATAGAATTTTAAGACTTTTTTACTTATTTTTAACTCTAAAGATAATCTTGTGTAATTGTCCATGACAAAAAAACAGGCTTTTATTTATGGTCATTGCAAAATTTGTTGTTGAGGCTTGAGCTTAAGAGACATTATTGTGTCTAACGGCGTTATAACCATGCGTGGTATTAAGACACTTTCACCAAAATTGTTTCTAGATATTACCTATGCTTCAATCACGTTAGAAGCTATCCTAGAAACTAATAGTTTGGTATTATTACAAAACCCAAAAGGCAAGAAAATATTTAAATATATATTAAAGGAGAATCAAAATCTTCAACAAAGGTAAATTATAAACAACTAAAGTTAAACAATAAAACAAAAATACACTTACTCAACAGTAGAATCAACTTTTACGATGTACACCATCCCTACAAACTTCCTATGAATCTTCAATCTCATTAACTCTTCCCATAACATCTAAATGGTTGAAAAATAATTATCAATAGCTCCACAAAGTATATAAATATTAAAAGCACTGTTTGTCATATTATTATAAATACCATCAATACTATAAAACTTGCATATATAGACGAATTTACAGATGAATTTTTGAACTATTACAGATAATTTTTGAAATTACAGACAGATTTGTAGACAGACATAAACCGTCTATAATGTCCTCGTTGATAAAAAATTGCAGACAGACTTACAAACAGAAAAATTTCTCTGTAATTTATAGACGGAAAAATCCGTCTATAAGTCACAGACAGAAAAATCTATCTGCAATTCATCTTTGATATATTTTAATATTTGTGTTATTTTTTGTTTATATACAGTTATTTCTGCATGTTTCTCATTATCATAATTTATAAACATAATAAAAATTACAAAATTAAATCTAAAAATTCAAAAATGATTTATAAAATATAAAATTTAAATGTCATTACAAATGAAGACAAAAATATTCAAATAAATAATGTTAAAAATAAAATACAAATGTTTATCATGAATAATCTGTATAATCATCATCCGAAAGAGCATCATCATCAATAGACGAAGAGTCGGAAGAATAATGATGCATAGAGCTGCAAACTAGTGGTGTTGGAGCTGGTGGAGGAGAAGGAAGAGGTGTGGAGATGCTTGCTCTCATGAGCTCAAAATATGCATGCATCTGCATATGTTGTTGCTCCATTTGCTGCTGGATCTCCCTTTACATCCTCGATGTCACCTTCTTTTCTATCTTCTCCTCCATTTTCTTTGCCCACTTTTTCTTCCATACACTTTCCTTGCTCTTCCACATCTCCTCATTTTGCTTCTGGAGTTTTTTATTGATGACATGGACCTGAGTGCAGACCATGTCCTTCACTTCAT